GGTGTCCTTTCTTTTCTCAACAGGTGTGTCCAGCATCATGGCCTCCTCCCAGTGACTGCCAACTTTTAATAAAGATGTGTTGACCTAGCCCTGCCCTGCCTCCTCCCTGTAGGCTTCCTCTCTCTGCCTGGCCCTCCAGGGGGAGGCCTCTCCCTGCCTGCAGCCTGTGGCCTTCCTCCTCTTATCTCCCTTTTCTCCCCCCTTGACTTCCTCCCTGGCCCCACCCCAGCAGCTAGCAGGCCACCCACCCCCACCTTCCTGACCTGTCAGGTCTCTGTGGGGAGGGCCAGGTGAGTCAGCCAGGAGGGGAGGGTGTGCGTGGCTGTGGGCGCCCAGCCCTGCAGCCCAGGGAAGCTCTCTCTCCACATCCTGGCTTGCTCTGCGTCCTTGGGCCAGTGCCCTGTCTAATCCCCAATTTCCTCATCTGGAAGAATGTGCCCTCTGCTGGCCTCGGGCGGGACTCAGGCGCTCTCTCCAGTGAAGGTCTTAAACCAGAGCCGCGGTCTTGCTCAGAGAGCGGGAGCCAGTGTTCATTTCAGACTCAGAAAGGGTTTGTCACCAAGGTGGCAACTATTCCTCAGCACCTTCTGTGGGGAGACTTCACCAGACATTTGGGACTTGCTCCTCAGAGCAAAGTGTCAGAGCCAGGCAGTCATCCTCCCTGAGTCCTAGCTCATGTCACTTAATCCCTAGCAGAGTGACTTTCATTCTCGTGGGGCACACAAGCGTTCCAGGTGTTCTGGCAGTGACCAGCCGCCCTGAGCCTGTCCTGGGGAGGTGGAGGAACTGAAATGCCATGGTGGTGATCCAGCCTCAGGGGAGACGCAGAGCCATCTTGCCTGTGAGCTTTGCCTGCGGAGAGGCAGCAGGGCACCAGCGCTTGGCTACCCGGCCCTGTGCATTCCTCCTAGGGACTTGTCCTGGGGAGCCAGGGTGGGGCTGGCACCTTTGCTCCGGGTTCCAGACCTGTGCAGGCACCAGGAACTAGGAAGTGTCCTGACCCTGGGGACACAGTGAACGTTTGCTTATGCAACTGTGGAGCCAGGGGGGGGGATGAAAGAGGACTGGGAGCTACCTCCCACCCACAGGACTGTGCAGATTATTCAGATACCCCTTCTGTGTGGGGACAATCACCAGGCACCTATTTGACAGGAGCCATCATGTAGGAGACAACATGTAAATCTAGCCATGGCCACTCTGCATGAGGAGAGAACGAAGGACCTTGCCGTCTGACGTGGTTAACACCTGTAATCCCAGTGACAGAAGGCTGAAGCTGGAGGATCACAAGTCAAGGCCACCCACAGCAATTTAGTGAGGCCCACAGCAATTTAACAGATTTTAAAAGATAATTAGGCCTGGGGATGTATTTTAGTGGTATAGCACCCCTAGGTTCACAGTTCAGTCCCTAGTACCAAAAAAAAAGGAACGACCTTCGGAAGCTGTGTCAGGCCTGCTCTCACTCCAGGGGGAGTCTTCTGAGCAGCTGACAGTAGCTAAAGACTGCCTGGGCTCAGACTCGAGCCTCGTGGCTTTTGGGCATGTTGGTTCACCTCTCCTGTGCCTGGGGTTTGTGCCCCTTCTCAAGTTGTGAATTAACGCCTCCAAAGACTTCAGGACAGACTTGGCACCTACGAGAGTTCATAAACATATCGCTCTCTCCAAATTCCATTCTGGTGATTGTTCCTGTGCCTGCTTTGGCTCAGGGCTGCTGTTCTAGCTGCAACAGTGGTGTGGAGGTTGGGCCCTGTGGTCCACCTCTAATCCCAGCAGTCTGGGAAGCTGAGGCAGGATTGTAAGTGCAAGGCCATCTGGGCAATTTAGTGAGACCCTGTCTCAAAAAGGGTTCGGACACGCCTGTAGTCCCAGTGGCTCAGGAGGTGGAAGGAGGATTGCGAGTTCAAAGCCAGCCTCAGCAAAAGAGGCACTAACACTCAGTGAGACCCTCTCTAAATATAAAATAGGGCTAGGGATGTTGCTCAGGGGGCCCCTAAGTTCAACCCTGGTACAAATAAAAAAAGTGGGGTTGTATTCAGTAAAGAACCATGGATTTGATCCCTGATATTTCAATAACGATGACAATGGCAAAAAATTGTTTACAGGAGCTGGGAGAGTAGCTCGGTGGTAGAGTACAGGCTTGACATGTATGAGGCCTTGGGTTTGGTCCCCAGCACCAAAAAGCCACACAGCAATAGTTATGGAACAGCATTAGTTCTGACTGAAGTTTCAGTGGTATAGAAATGGAGAACTAAACCCCCATCTGGCCCCTTCCTGCCCCCTTGGACCCCCCTCCCTGGGACCTTTAGACCTGCCAGCTGTACCACTACACTGTCCGCAGATGGCTGCCAGGTGTAGCCCCAAGGCTGGCAATCAGAGGACCTCACTGGCTGGGGTCACCTGCTCCAGCTCTGGGCCTTTGGTCTGGGAGGCTTCAGTATCCACCACGAGCAGGTAGGGAGAGACTGGTGGCTCTGCACCTGAGGAACATCCCTGTCCCCAACCTTCCTCACCAAGATCAGTGCCAGAGTCCTGAGTTCAAATGAGGCAGGTGGAGGCTGCCCCGCCCCAGCCCAGCTTGGGGAGCAGCAAAAAGGCCTGGGAGCTTCAGCCAGGTCTGCATCCCCTGGGAAAACAAGCCGCAATTGGGGCTGCTTACTGTTGGTGTCCTTCACATGCCTGTGGAACAGGGGGACAGGATAATTGGACTTGCACAGAATCCCTTCCTGTCACACAGTATATGTTCATTGGTGCTGGGAATTGAACTTGGGCACTTTACTGCTGAGCTACATCCCTAGTCCTTTTATTTTTTATTTTGAGACAAGGTCTTGCTAAGTTGCTGAGGGTCTCATTAAATTGCTGAGGCTGGTCTCACACTTGCGATCCTCCTGCCTCAGCCTCCCAAATGACTGAGTTTATAAGGCATGTGCCACCATGCTCAGCTCATTTTCAGTTCTTTGTTGTAGTTTAACTCAAATACTTCACCTTCCCAACAGCCATTCCCCTCATTTTCTTCCTACTTCAATAAAGTTCACACTTGGTTGCATACTTCCCTGTTTCCTCAGGTCCCAAACCTGGAAGCCGCCCTGATTCCCCCAACAAGGCCAAATATATGGCAGTATAATAAGCTTCACTTTCCCAAATCTTTCCATGTCTCCTTCTATGGCATTGTGCTCTGGCCCTAGTCCTGTCCAGCTCCACCCTGATATTACAGCAGCCCCCTCTCTGGGCTCTCTGTGCTTGAACTTCTCCACTCTGTGGCCCTCATGCAGCCAAAGGGCCTCGTGAACAGCTGAATAACATCCCAGCCTCTTACTGAAAATCTCATCTTCCCATTGCATTTAGAATAAAATTCTGGGATAAGGGTTTAATTCACTGGTAGAGTACTTGCCCATCATGTGAGAGGCCCTGGATTCCGTCCCCAGCACCACTTAAATATATATATATATCAAATTCTACACCATGCTTTAAGCCCATTCATTCAGAACTCCTACTCCACCAGATACTGCTTCAGGGACCAGGCATACAGCAGGGACCAAAACAAGACCTGCTCCCTTGTGGGCTGATATTCTTGGGGAAGAAATGCACAAGACACAAGGCGGGGAATATGTCGGGTGGTGTGTAGATGGTGAGGTACTGTAGACAAAGGTGCAGGACGAGGCAAGTGCTCTACCCCTGGCTCACCCCCTAGCCCCAGGATGCCATTTTACATAAAGTGGTCAGGGAAGCACTTGCAGAGGAGGAAACATTTCTGCAGAGACCTGCAAAAGAAGGTGCCATAGGCCACGAAGATCCAGAATCTGGGGAAAGTGTGTCAGGCAGTGGTAACAACATGTCACCAAGTACAAAGGCTTTGAGGCTGAGGGTGGAGCCTGGCATGTTGAAGGAACAGCAAGGTCAGCAAGCTAGGGGGAGAGGGGGTGAGCTAGGAGCTGTGGGGACCAGGACACGGAAGACCCAGGTCTGGCTGAAGCCCCAGGACTTTGAACTGTTACAAAATCTGGGCTGGGCCAGGCAGGGCCCCGCAGGCTCCTCTGCGTCTTTTCCTCCTTTCCTTGACTTTTGCTTTTCCTCTGAGTGTGGGTTCTGAGCAAAGGAGGGAGGGACATGGTCTGACTCAGGCTCTCAGGGCATCACTTGGCTCCTTACAGGAAAGAGCATGCAAGGATGCGGGCTGGGGGCTGGGTACAGGGAGGAGACTGCTGCAGAGGTCCAAAGGAACATGAGTGAGGGTGGACAGAACCAGGATAGGGCTCTGAAGTGGATGGGTTCTGCATGTACTTTGAAAATGTAATGACAAAATTTCCCAGAGAACTGTCTGCAGGTAGGACAGGAGAGTGAGGCTTTTCTAAATAGCCAGAAAGATGGGAATGCCATTAACTGAGCACTGCAAGGTGATCTGGTTTGGGGGGCAGATCAATTAAACTCAGGAACACAGTTTCCCCCGCCCCGCCACCAGTACTGGGGATTGAACCCAGTGGTGTTTAACCATGGAGCTACATCCCCAGCCCTTTTTAACTTTTATTTTTAAATATTTATTTATTTAGGGCTGGGGATGTGGCTCAAGCGGTAGCGCGCTCGCCTGGCATGCGTGCGGCCCGGGTTCGATCCTCAGCACCACACACCAACAAGGATGTTGTGTCCACCGAGAACTAAGAAAAAATAAATAAATGTTAAAATTCTCTCTCTCTCTCTGTCCCCCTCTCTCTCTCACTCTCTCTTAAAAAAAAATATTTATTTATTTAGAGACAGAGTATTGCTAAGTTGCTCAGGCTGGCTTTGAATTTGCAATCTTCCTGCCTCAGCCTCCTGAGTTGCTGGGATAACAGGTGTGCACTATTTATATTTGAGATGCCTGTTAATGTGGCAATATAATTTTTTGGGGGGGGTACCAGAAATTGGATTCAGGGGCACTCAACTATTGAATCACATCCCCAGCCCATTTTTATATTTTATTTAGAGATAGGGCCTCACTGAGTTGCTTAGAGCCTTACTGTTGCTAAGACTGGCTTTGAACTTGTATTCCTCTTGCCTCAGCCTCCTGAGCTGCTGGGATTAGAGACATGCACCACCACCCCCAGCTGCAATATCATTT